TTCAATGGAACCACAGTACCTTTCATTTGGCGCTAGTTGTGTCCAATTCGGTGCAGCGGTTGCTGAGAAGCATGAGCATATTTTTTTCGTTACACACATGAACACACACATACATTTTCCGATGTCGTTGAGCTGAGTCGATTGGTATAAAAACCTCGCCCTCCGAGCCTCGGATCGAAAGTTGGTTTCCCAAGCGGTATATATATAACCTTCAAAAACAACATAAAAAATCCTGCAGAACAGAAGCGTCCGGATGTTTCCCTTGTGATCCTTGAGCAGCTGCGACGATAGGGCCGCCAGCAACAGCAGCACCGATAGCGCGATCTATCGCTCTAGCTCTAGCTGGAACTACACCAATGTCAACAGTAGTCGATTGTTCCGCCCACGTTTCTTAGAAAATCGAGGAACTAAATCGGTTTGTTTTGCAGATATAAAACCCCAACAACGAAACAAAACAACACAAAATCTCGAGTGCGACAGCTGTCAAACTAGTTTGGAACAGTGCTTGCCTTGTTCCAAATTCAGTTCAAAATATACCGAGAACTATACTGGTTTAAAAACAAAATACATTTTAGAACTAGTCTAAAACAAAAATAGACCACCAGTGCAAGGGCTCGGTCTGGAACTATTCCAAAATTTTAGACCAAACCAACCAATTGGATCGCCGCTAAAGATGCCCTCACCGATCGTTTCAAACATGTGCTGCACTCTCATTGGTGGAAAAATGGCAGCACAGCGAACAAAAAAAAAACGATTAGTTGTTAATCGAGTAATTAAAAAATGGGACATCTCTGATTTTGATGTGATTGTTCCCTGAATATTTTGGCGAACACAGTTTTTGGTTAATATAATTAAAGACCTATTGAGTTTATGGTAAAATCACAGACAAACAGACATAACACATTGAATATTTTTCATTGTAAAACATCGTCGCTAAAACATTACCGCCATCTGTTGAATACACTGTGGTGGGTAGTACGCTGAACAGATGGCGGTAGTGTGTAAACGTCAAACGCAAGGGAATTGACTATGCGCGCCACAGGTGGCAGTACTACCAACTGAAATACTTTTAAATTGACCGTTAAATGCTTGTGCGATGAACAATTTGTGAGTGTTATGTCTGTTTGTCTGTGGTAAAATCGTACATTATCATTACATTTATCATCGATATGGTTCAGGTTATCATATTATTATTTACTTTAATAATTTTATAACGATAACTGGTGTAGAACCCTTATAAAACATGCAGAAAATGAAATTTTGTTTCAGGGCCTAATGTATTTTGATATTGATTCAAACATATTGTACCACTATTTCAACAAAACATATTTTTGAATCATCAAAATGGTTTTTAGAATCAACAAAATGGACTTTAGAATCAACAAACAAATTATTGACTCTACAACCGGTTTGTTGATTCAAAAATATTTTTCTTTGAATTAACTGAATAATATATTTGAATGAATACCTAAAATATAATAGGCTTTGAGCCAAAAATATATCCATTTGAATTTAAAAAATATTTCTCTGCGTGTACACAGAAACAAAATCCATTGGCAAAAATACTATATTGATGGTTTAAATTAAATACTCCCACCAATAGATTTCTGCAGAAACGAAATTCATTTAATTTTACTATTTTTTCTATCAAAACTACTATGCCGTTTGAGTAAGCATAGTAGTTTTGACAGAATGGTAGTAAATTTTATTATATTTATAGTCAACTATACCGAAATCATGGTAGATTTAACGGTTTTAAACGTAGTTATATGGTTATACTGAAAATAAGTGTTTTCTGCAAAATAGTATTCCTAACTATTATCTTTGTTTTAGTGTACTTGTTTATTCGGGTTACACTCAAAAATATTACAAAATGAATATAGATTAAATTTGATGCATTTTATGGTTTTTCAAAATTTATACATTGGTTAGATTAAAATTTTCGTCAAAATTATACTAAGTCCGAATAACGGAGTGGAATTCGATCAGTGTTTACTAAAATGACAGGAAAAATAACATTTGGATTCTCTTTGCAGCTTCGTTCGAGCTTTGTTCCGACGGATTTCAACTGCGCCTGTGATCTGCTGGGCAGCTACACAGCGTGAACACGAGTTCATCTTAATGAACATCGAAATTGTAAGTATTTTGTAAATAGTATTCATAAAATATAAAATAATTAAAAAACCTTCCTGAGACAATTTTTATTTATATTTAAAACAATAATATTTACCATTAATAAAATAAAGAAGCTAAAAAGACATTCTCTCGAATAAACCGTATCTATGCATTGTAAGTATATTTCGATTTTATACTATGGCACGCATAAACCATTTTTATACTAAGTTTGCATTCTCTCCATTTATACCGATCTTTGCGTCGGTACGGAGAGTTGCGATTTAGCGTAACTTTTATACTATTTAGGCTGTGAACCATTTGCCGAGTTAAATTTAACTCGTGGTTAAAAGTGACATTTCGAAAGTTATTTTCTATGTTCGAAAATCCCCGTGCTGTCGATCGACCGGTTTTCGAGCCAAGGTTGTCAAAATTTAACTTCTTGTCTGTCAAAAGTAACCACGCTCGGATAGCAGGGTTAATCGATAACTTTCCATCTGTCAAATTTTAACCAAGAGTTAAAATAATCCACCAAATGGTTCAGAGCCTTAGTAGAGTCGGTGTATAATGAGTCACGCCAAGAGTGAAGCCAAGTCTACCTATTGAACTGTCAAACCGGCTACCTATCGTGCAAAATAAATAAACATTACGATGCTATGAAAGGTCCACGAAAGGTATTGCAATAAAATATAAAATATAATCGAAGAAATGAGCATAAACACGCAGTGAGCGTTAAATTGTCATGGGGTACGCTCGGTAATGATTAGTAATAAGAATTTCTACTATTTTTTGTTAAGATAATTTGACAAAATCACTGATATAATGATTTACTACAGCCGCAATATTTTTTCTCTCGCTAGAAGTCATTTGAAGTTGTTGTAGAAGTCCTCTGTTGCCAAGTGAAAAGAATGGGAATCTTCCGAAAACCGTGATGCGAGTTCAACTGTTTTTCTCTTGGCGTGACTCATTATACACCGACTCTACTATTGACGAGTGCACGGATGAATTTGAGTTCACTCACTCGACAAAAAGTGACACAACAGCGGGGCCCTGTTTACTAAAAATGAACACATGTGTTCATTTTTAGTAAACAGGGCCCCGCTGTTGTGTCACTTTTTGTCGAGTGAGTGAACTCAAATCCATCCGTGCACTCGTCAATTTAGATTTCAATATTGTTTAAGTGATACACGCAATTTCAAAACTACCCAAATTTGTTCATTTGTCAACTTGTCACTCCCATCACAGTTTACCCATATTTGGGTAGGTTCAGTTTTGACCGATCTGGGTGAATTCTACCAAAATTTGGGCTAGTTTTGAAAATAGCGTGTACATCTTTTGTTTACTAAGGCTCTGAACCATTTAGTGGATTATTTTAACTTTTGGTTAAAATTTGACAGATGGAAAGTTATCGATTAACCCTGCTACACACTAAGATTTTTTTACAGTATACTGTAAATTTTTACCGAATATGGAACAGCTGAACGTTCGGTAATCCATTCGGTAATTTTTCAATTTACAATCCGTTCGGTAAAATTTCTTCGCTTGTGCGCTGTCAAAATTTACTGACCTGCGGACTGTGAATTTTACTGAACGATCAGTAAAGTTTACCATAGCGTTCAGTATATGTTTTACCGAATCTACTGTACTTTTTTTTCAGAATAAATCATAAAAATTAGAATTTTTATTGATTGATTATTTGTTTCTTTCTTTCACCAACCCAAAAATTCATCCGACTATTTAACCATATATTTTTAATAGGCATTTCCATATTGAGTTCGTACAAAACTTCATTAAAAAATCAGTAATGAAGCCGGACTCAGCAAACCGTGGACTTTTGAGCCGAACTCAGCACTTTTGAGGAGGATATTGAATTGCCTAACGTCCATGGCGTCTGAAATTAATTGACCCAAAAATGAAAACTGATTAAATTTTCGTTGTAAATTGAACACAATCTAGCAAAAAAAGTAAAGTACTTACGTTTCACAACATAAAACCGAATTACACTCAACATCGAAATGGCAGCAAAGGTTATGTTTGACGGTACAAAGTTTACAAATCTGTTCAGTAAGTTTTACGGAAATGCTGTACTTTATTGCTGTTTGTTTTTGTAAAATATGAATTGTACAGTGCATTCGTTACAATTTTTACAGAATTGCGGAATCGCAGCCATTTACAGTTTCAATCAGCAAATTTGATTTACAGTTTTCGGCAAATTTCTGCAAATTACGGAAATTCAGCAGTTATGATTGCGGAAAATTGGTAAAATAATACTCTTTACAAAGCATTCGGTAAAAATGATATTTCACCGAACAAATCCAGCAAAAAAAGTACCGAACAAGATTTAAGAAATTTGGTGTGTATCCGAGCATGGTTATTTCTGACAGACAAGAAGTTAAATTTTGACAACCGTGGGTCGAAAACCGGTCGATCGACAGCACGGGGATTTTCGAACATAGAAAATAACTTTCGAAATGTCACTTTTAACCAAGAGTTAAATTTAACTCGGCAAATGGTTCACCGCCTAAAGGTCGAGCTAAAGGTTTTGTGCCGTTTTCAAATTAATTTCTTTATAAATAAATCCATGTCTGTATATCTGGCATCCCTGAATAACAGTGAAGGAGAGTTTCGGAGTTATGAGACGTGAGATCAAGATGGTGAGAAGTTGAAACTCACTTCACTTTATCGCTGCTGAGTGCTGCTGCTGACCATTCAGTGCAATGAAATGTAAACAAGATAGTCCCAGAGAAGTTTTTGTCTCTTTCGTTCCTCTGTTGTTTGAATAGATGACGGAGTTTGACGTCACTATTAATCAACTATTCGAACTGCTGCGAACGAAAGAGACAACGAATCCACATGGTCTCACCTGTTTACAGACGTTGCATCCAGTCGGCAAGTCACCGTCGCACCATTCTCTCACGAATCAGTGCTTACGACGTCGGCCATCCTACCGCAAGCAGAAACCGTCAGATTGTATCTTTTACTTGCTGCTCGCGACTGAATCGTTCGTCCACTTTAGATATCATTAAATTTTAGTTTTTGATAGTCTACACTAGCGTTTGTACCATCTTCGGCATCGACTGTATAGTAAGTAGCCCGATTCAGAAGCAGTATACAGCAGAAACTCGCCCGTGTGCAAGCCGTCGTTTGGATTACTGAGTGGAAGCCTTTGATAGTGCTGCAGCAAGTGCAATTCCGGATCAATAATGTTTCCAAGTAAGTGCAATCTTTGCTTTGTATGGGAGTCGGAAGGGTGAAACTTTTATCTGCGTGGCTTATATAATAATTGGGAGTTCCTTTCAACAAGGGATTAGCAGTGCAAAATGCGAATGTGTGGTCTTGTGGTCACCATCTTTTGTCTGGCCGTGTGCTCTAATTTTTTCCCCTTTTTTGTCTGCCTCAGAGGAAGAGTCTTGACTGTTGATGGATGCTTTCTTTGTGCGAGCGCCGTCCAGCATATTCCCCGAAAACGACCGCCGTCCGAGGATGTTTGTTTGTCGGACTGAAAAGAATGAAAATTAATGTGAAAGTTGGATGCGCCTCGAGTGCAGATGACGGAACACCAGTTAGGTCGTCGTCATTAGCAAAATGCAATTTGCTTATTTCGAACGCTTTAGGTAGCTCGACCGCGACACGATAGTTTATCTCTCCTACCCAATCGCTGTGCAAACCTAGTTGTGTTGTAGTAAATCAAAAAACAACCGATACCGTTCATTGGAACTTGTTTTTTATAAACATCCGTCGACCCTTTCTCTTTGCCTAGCGTCGTATAAAAAGTCAGTCAGTAGGTGAATTATAGCTGTAAATATCATCATCTCGTATTCTCTATCCCGTCCGCTTCGTTCAGCTCGGGTACATAAATAGTCACGATCGACGCACGGTCCCGTACCAACTCCCTCATTCGGTGCTACTTTTCGTCTACTCATTCGCAGTCGATAGAAGGCTTCTCAGAACTTCTTGGAGCTTTCTAGCCCACCATCCCATTCTCGTAGAAAGATACCGTATCATGTGGTGGTAGGGAGGGTATCAGCATCATCAGCTGTAGCTAGCGAGTACCTCCTGACCAGCACATAGAAGATAGACTGTACTGTTAGCATTTTGTTGTTTTGGTTTTTCATCCGTTCCTTATGCTTTACTCGCAGTTTCCTTTTGTTGTAGGTAATCCGGTTTTTCATTTATGCCACCCTTGTGGCTTTCCCCTGGCCTACACATTGCTGTTATCAAGATGGAAAGCAAAGTACTATGTATGGGTATGCTCCTTTCTTCTGTGCTACGGTGGCCTCGAATTAACGGAATCGGTGACCTACAGAATTCTGCTCGTTGCATTTCGCGTTCTATTTGCGAACTGGCCGTGGGATTGCTTTTATTACTTTCTGCTCAACTTTCTGTTTACGTTTGACGGCTCCGAGTGGCTGATGCCTGATTCAAATGTCGACTAAATAAAATCATTAATGTAATGTATGCTTAGTTAGTGTATCGAAATAAATAAATCATTCATAATAGAAATAGGTATGCACCTATATGAATTTATGACCGGTCAAGTATTACCGCTACAAGAGGAGATGGGGTTTAAAATTGAGCTTGAACATGAGCTGACTGACAGGAACCAGTAAATTGCACATAGATCCAAATCAATAGAGCTTAACATAAGCTAACTAATTCTAGCGTTTAGAATTATAAGGGCCTAACTGCGATGATCGATTATCTTCATCGATTTTCTGAATAACTGAACCAATTTTAAGAAATTTTTACTACACAGTATAGTAAAAGTTTGTAATAGTTAGCAAAACCAACATCAAATGCACCGAGTCATTAGTGAAAGAGAAAGGTCCGTATGATTCTGAACGCTAGATTTATACGTTCAATAACGGTGCCGGTAATTAAATTAATGCGTCACTGCTACTTATTACTGCCTTTTGTTAGAGGAAATCGTCGATTAGACCTGGATGCACTTTGGAAAGAGGTGCTATCTTATAAAGCCTGATGAGCAAATGATACGACCCTGATCAACTCAGTAATGTAAAGAGGTCTGGGATAGATCCCATAAACTTCTAATCAGTAAGCAGAAATGGTCGGCACTAGGCCACGGAGCCCACTACATCACATGCCTAGTAATAAGCAGATAATCTCCGGAAGACACGACAGAACCCATATGTTGTTTAGAAGAACACAAATGAGCGTTGTTGTTAAGTTATTGTTTATCCCTTGCTTGGAATACGGTTTTGTGGGGGCTGGAGCCGTTCTCCACCCTAGATCAAATATTTAACTGCTACCAATCTGTAATTGAAAAATAATGCAAACAATTTAACGTTTTTTAACAAGGTACAATGGTAAAAAGCTACCATTTAAATAACTTAGTGCAGGAAAAAGTTAGAAAGCGTTACGTACAAAGGTTAATAAAGAAATTAATTCAGTTCAATAAATTTGTTTGGGGCATGACTTTCAGAATTAGAACTACATATCAGGCAAAACATTTGATAACGGCACAAAAGCATTTGTAAACAAACCTTCTAAGGCCCTTTACACGCGAATCAAAGTACGCCCACGCAAACCAATACCACTTTCGGAAAGGTGATAGTTGCCTCTATCCGATGATGTTGTAGGTTTGCGTGGACGTACTTTGGTTCGCGTGTAAAGGGCCTTAGAAAGTTTGTTTACAAACCCTAATAAAAAATAACCATAAACGAACGATAACCCAAATCATTGAACTTTTCCATAAATGGTTTGGATGATACCCAGAACACGTCGTTAAGCAAATTAACCATACAATTTTTATTAGGGAATGCTTTTGTGCCGTTATCAATTTTTTAAAAATTAAGCTTTATTTAAGAGATTTTTAGCCTTAGGCTAGTTCATCTCTACCGTTATCAAATGTTATGATTATCAACTGTTGGAATATGATCATAAAAGCATCCTCAAGTTTATTCACGTCATGTGATACAATCCATTCTACGTCCTTTGAACTATAGTCGCTATATTTATAGTATGACGGATAAAATTTCAATCTACCAAAAAGCGGAACCAATTCAATATATTGTAGACCAACAATGGAAAAAGGTGCTATCAACTTATATAAACAAATCTTTGATATTTTTTCCCCACCAACCGAACGCAAATTAACCGCATCACTGGATAGGGGAAACTTTTTTCAACCCGATGATGGTGTTAGTATGTGAAGGCGAGCCTTGAGTCACGAGAAAGGGGTTTTGTTCGCAAAAGCTGATGAGCTCTTTTCTGTTGTTGTTCGTGATATGCTCGATTGGTTCCGCTATATGAAAGCTCAATTGGTTCCCGAGATTCTATCTGCCAGACTATAAATATAAAGGGTGATACGGTCAAAATTTGGTCAATATCAACTTGACGTATTTCTTTCAATTTTGCATTAAAAAAACCTGAACACCCCTCATTTTGAAGGTGTGTGTGTGTAGAATGTTGCTCCTATTTTGATTTTGGAATTCACTCTTCAGTTGTCAAAATGCCGTCTAAGCAAGAAGAGCAGCGTATCAAAATTTTGCGAAAATCCGAGCTACTTGCACGCAAAGTTGGCAAAATCGCTAAAAGTTGCCAAATCAACCGTTACAAATGTAATTAAAGTGTTTGGGGAACGTTTGTCGACAGCCAGGAAGTCTGGATCGGGGGGAAATCGAAAACCGGAAGCCGCTGAGACGACAAAGAGAGTTGCCGGTAGTTTCAAGCGAAACCCTAACCTCTCTCTCCGAGATGCCGCAAATAAGCTGGGTGTATCGTCTACAACCGTGCATCGAGCCAAAAAACGAGCCGGACTATCGACTTACAAGAAGGTATTATTATTATTATTTAGCTTTATTTAGGAGGCTTTCAGCCTTAGGCTGGTTCGCCTCCACTACAAGAAGGTAGTGACTCCAAATCGCGATGATAAACAAAATACGACGGCCAAAGCGCGATCCCGGAGGCTGTACACGACGATGCTGACGAAGTTTGACTGCGTGGTAATGGACGACGAAACCTACGTCAAAGCCGACTACAAGCAGCTTCCGGGACAGGAGTTTTATACGGCAAAAGGAAGGGGAAAGGTAGCAGATGTTTTCAAGCACATGAAACTGTCAAAGTTCGCAAAGAAATATCTGGTTTGGCAAGCCATCTGTACCTGTGGCTTGAAAAGCAGCATTTTCATAGCTTCCGGGACTGTCAACCAAGAAATTTACGTGAAAGAGTGTTTGAATAAACGTCTGCTGCCTTTCCTGAAGAAACACGGTTGTTCCGTACTGTTTTGGCCGGATTTGGCATCTTGCCATTACGGTAAAAAGGCCATGGAGTGGTACGCCGCCAACAACGTGCAGGTGGTTCCCAAGGACAAGAACCCGCCCAACACGCCAGAGCTCCGCCCAATTGAGAAATACTGGGCTATTGTCAAGCAGAACCTAAAGAAGACCAAAAAACTGCTAAGGGCGAGCAGCAGTTCAAGGCAAACTGGCTTTCTGCGGCGAAGAAGGTGGACAAGGTGGCTGTACAAAATCTGATGGCAGGGGTCAAGCGTAAGGCCCGGCAATTCGGATTTGGAAAAGCGGAAGCCTAACTGAATATTTTTCCTGAATTTTATACTAATTGAACTTGAAAAAGAAATTTAATTTGATTTTTTAAATAAACGATTTCACCGATTTACACGCGTTTTCCCTTGACCAAATTTTGACCGTATCACCCTTTAGTCTATATTTTGAACCTGGTGCTTGGATATATGGGATATCAAAAAGGCGTAAATCCTTGATTTCAAGCCTTTGTAAGTCGCCGTATAAAAAAAAATTGTATTTGACAATCAGAAACCACCATCTTTGACCAATCAATAATCGATTTCCGGCTCTGATCGTAGTTTCCATTTCGAAAACACCTATATTGTTGGGTATTTTAAAGTTTTCTTAAGCCGGAAGACTAAGATCTTACAAAACCGGGAGCAGTCATATTGGATTCCAAAATGGCATAAATAATTGATTACTGTTAATTCCAAAATTACCTATATTATACACGGTAAGAAAAAGGTACCCAAAATTAGGTTTATTTCACCCAACTAGGTACTAAAGTGTGGGAAGCCAAAAGTAAGTAAAGTCCCATGTACTCAATTTTGATCACTCGCACTGAAGGGATAACCTAACCTAACCTGAAGGGCTTGGATGGGTAGAAATTACTTGATGATTGGAAGGAATGAATGATGTTCATAAAAATTGAAAAAGGAAACAGGCCGG